CGGGGGAATTTCATATTTGCTGCTTCATCGAAAGGTATTCAGCATAGCTGAAAAGATGATCAAACAGAGTACAAGGTGATAAGAACAGATAAGACAGATGTTTAATTCTCGATCCCACCACTTCCCATCAAAGAATCTCAATCCTCTCCCCTGTCATGTGGGAATAAAATATAACAGCACCTTGTCTTGTCCAAAGGGAGAGGGATGGGATTGGGGACAAAGTATATAAGGCACTTAACACAAGTCTGGTCCAACAGCAAGAAGCTGTTCAACAAATGATCATTGTTACTGTACTTGGTGTAGTTACAATAACAGGTATTCGAACACTAGGACAGAAGACAAACAGTCCAACTGACAACAAACAAATGGAAGGGGGCTTCAAAGCCACTGAGACCAACTGTTCCACCAACTCTACAGAAGAACAGTAGTTGATCAGAAAGGGACCTACAGCCAATGTAGGCTGCAGGAATGGATGCACAACATTCCAGTCTGCCACTAGGGAGTCATTACCTGTAGCTCTGCCAGCCCCTCCAGCCTCCCCCACACTCACAGGAATAAAAATAAAGTTAATCCCGTCCTCTTATCCAAGTATTTTCTCTCTGGCCTCTGGCTGATGGTTTCTAATCCCTCCTCAATCCCCATTACTCTCATCTCAGCTCTGCTTCCCGTCTGCTCAGAGCAAAACATTCCTCCCAGGAAATGAAACCTTCCAGACACACAGAGCCAAGCAAGAAGGACTCTTTTCACTAGAGAAGGATAGCGTCTCTATGCAGGGGCAGGCTGCCATGGGAGTGCACCTGCAACTTGGTAGAAGCTCAGTGCTTACTGAATGAATTAAGCTTTAATTCCTGTCCCTGTCTCTGATGGAGTTACAGTACGGTGTTATCCTGAGCGACTCTCAGCCCACCCAGATTCTAGAACATCCTCAGGGTGGCAGGACACGGAAAACTCTTCAGGAAGCAACATGACACAAAACAGACCTAAGAGAATAAAACTCTGGGTAGTTGCTTCTGTAAGTGTGCCCCTATTTTCACTGATCTTGATGGGGTTACAACATATAAGTCATTTCTCTTCTTGTTTAGATTGGTCTTCAGTGGGTTCAAAGTCCTTGACTTCTATTCCACACATCACTGGTTTCTCCAATGTCCTCGCCTACCTTTGATGTTTTAATGGTTACCCTCATGAAACAACTTTGGTTCTGCTCCATAACTATCTACTCTCTAACACTAAAGTCTGAGGACTTCATAAAATTTTACCTAACATGATGCCTAGCAGGATGGAAGGCACATAAAAGTCGAAAAGCTCTGATCATGGTAGTTGGCACAAACCATAACATGCCCTCACATGTTACCTGTTCTTGATGGTTCACACACAAAGGGTTTGTTAATGACAGTGTGGTTGAACAATCTGGAATGCTTGAATTTCTTAAATTTTACATTCTAAATTAGACTTGAAAACAGACCTGAGCTCATATATTCCCTGTTCAGGGAATCCCTCGCTCACTGCCTGCCCATCGTCCAGAGGGTCTTCCTGTGGGCACGTCCCTCACCGGGGTGGTATCATCATGTCCAGTTCTTGCGTGGCCTCCCTAGCTGACTGTGAATTTTCTAAGGGCCAAGAAGATGTGTCTATCGCCACTACAGCCTGGCATCTACCACAGGAGTTGACAATTGGTAGGTTCTTGGTAAATGTTCACTGTTTGAAAAGAAGGCAAGGAATAAAAGACCAGATTCAACATTCAGTGACTGAGGAATCAGTAAGCCACCTTCTGACACAGGCTGGAAAAGGTCCTGCACATTTCTACGAAATTATTCTATGACACCAGGAGAACCTCCCACGCCCCAGACAAAGCAACAGTCAAGAGACAAAGTGAGTCAGGTTTTATGATCGTGGCCTCACAGACACTGCCCTTCAGTGTGGACATTGCTCCCAGCAGTCCGGAGCACTCCATTTTCTGTGGTGGGTGAGTCCCTCTCATTTCACTCTGACAAGGGTGCTATGGGGAAAAAAGACGAAGACCCATTTTACAGGTGCAACAATAAAGCCTCAGTCCTCATGCACCACAGAGCCTTAGCACAGGCTTACAAACAAAGCATCTCAAAGAACCGTACAATCTCACGATGGATAGAGATCTTCAACCATCCGGTTCGCCTCTCCCTCAGACAGATGCTCCAATTCCTAGAACATTCCACACCCAACAAGCTGCCTGCCCATCCACCTCCTATGCTGGAGGGCTCACTGTCTCCCTAGCCAGGCCACCCCCTCCCTGGACAGCTCCAGAAGTATTTTCTTACAGACTCGGAATTTCAACCCGCCAACCCCACATATTCTAATATCCACACAGAGCAAAGCTAATCTCTTGCACATGACAGCTCTCCAGCTAACCCTCAGCTATCACCTCCCCTCCCCCAAGGTTTAAAAAGATCACTGCAGATTGCACAGGCTGCTCCATGCAAACTCTGTTGCATGCAGGTTAACAAAGGCCTTTTGGCTGATAACAAGAACCAGAGAGAGAACATGGCACATCTTGTGGCAGCGATGGGATCCCTGTGGGAGGGAGGCAGTAGAGAAGGTAGAATTGACTCCAAAATCCCACATAAATCTGTCTTTTAAAAAAAATATTTGTTTATTTTTATTGGAAAGAGAGATCAGATTTACAGAGAGGGGGAGAGAAAGAGTGTCTGTGTGCTGTTTCACTCCCCAAATGGCCGTGATGGCCGGAGCTGAGCTGATCCAAAGCCAGGATTGCTGAGTCCCAAGGTTTTGGGCCATCCACTACTCCTTTCCCAGGTCACAAGCAGGGAGGTAGATGGGAAGTGGAGCAGCCAGGACACACACCAGCACCCATATGGGATCCCCATACTTGCAAGGTGAGGATTTAGCCACTGAGCCATCACATTGGGCCTCCCACGTAAATCTTAAAGATCTCCATGCAAACCAATAACAATGCCAGAAGGGGCTCCTGAAACCAATGGAATTCCTTGTTTTGCAAAAAAAAAAAAAAAAAGAGGAATCAAAAAGCAGAGAAGGAAAGCAGCAGAAAGGAACACAGCTACCACGCAGCAAGGGTACAGTTAGAAGCCTCTGAATCTGCAACCCAGTGCTTTTTGCTGTGCACCCCCACACTTCTCCCTGCTTTAAAAAAAAAAAATAGCCACTACAGAGACCACCCTGTGATTTCCAGAACAATACACCCAGAATAATAGCACTGCCTACACTTTCACTTTCACCACATCCCCTAGAGGCTAAAGCAAAAGCAGGAAGCATATTAGCTCCATTTTCCCAGAGGCAGCGATGAGAGAAAGCGCTTGCCTGGGTACCCTCGCACACACCCTGGCTTCATTTGCAGAATGCAACGCAAAGCTCAGTGAAGCCACTTTGCTCTATTGACAGGTTACCAAATGGGCTGTGGAGGCTCCTCCTCTGGAAACACCTACCCTAACGCAGGAAGAAAGCAGCCTCTATGCCATCCGGCTTGCACTCTTCCACGCTTGCTCCGTGTGCTCTGAAAGCACTCATTTTGCTGCCTCCCCTGAGCTGTGTGACAGAAGGGAAAGCACGCATCAGGTCCCTCCGTCCTACCCAGGGCAAGCTCTAGTTCTTGTGTCTGTAAGACACAGGGCAATCAGCTCTGTCCCTTGGGGAGTCAGGATGTCACAGCTCTGTTGGCGATGAGCAAGTGTGGGGCAAGGAGATTCCCCCGCCACGAGGAGCCAATGTCCCTTTGCTTCTCTCCTGTCCCCAGCCCCCTGGTCACTCTGCTGCCCTACTACTCAGAGCGGGTGGAAGAGCCACAGAAGTATCACCCCAAGAAAACCAGTCGTGACCTCATCCCAATAAGTCCCCAACACAAGCTTTACCAAAACAACCAGGACCTCATGCCAACAGTTCTCACCATTCATCCCCAAAGAGCATCTGCCATGCATGAAGACCATACAAAGTATCTTTCCCCCTGCTTTCCCACTTTAACCTGTCAAAATGACTCATTTTACAGATGGTAAAACTTCTGACTGGAGGTTGTAAGGGAAAGCCGGTAAGCCACTGAGCTGGAGAAGAAACCCCGTGTCATCCAGGAGGGTGCTTCCCAAACCCTAGGGTGCTGGGTGCACTCCCCAATACACTGAGCCTCACCTGCTCTAACAAGCACCCAGGCACACTGACTGCCAAGGGACAGATTCTGTGAAGGTCCAGCCCCTGTTTCTGGGATCCTAGAGCCTGACAGAATGCACTCATCAACTATTCATTATGTCAAGAAGCGACTTTAAAACCCAAGCTTTACCACTGGCTTGTCTGTAGTCAGTCTCATTACCTCATGTCATCCTGCGGGCAAATCTGAGATAGGTGCAATCATCCTTATTTGACAGATAAGCAAACAAAGGCCCCACAAAGTAAGCTGGCCTAAGGTTCCTCGGCTCCTGAGCTGCTCCACCTGCGTAGCCTTTTGCCCACCACTCCTGTCCCACAAGAAGGCGCTGAGGCCAAAACTCAGACCTCCAGATCCCCACTGCGTGCCCAGTTCACGGCTGGGGAGGCCCCCTGGGAACTCTGAGCTGCTCCTCAAAAGGGCAACGGGAAGAGGGTAGAGGGGGCTGATTGAGACTTCGAGAAAGCACGGCCAGCAGCACCGGGCAGGCAGCTGGTGAGGCGACCCCCCGACCTTCCACCCATAAGCTCCCCTGGACACAAGCTCTCCCCACCCCAGCCTGGCTCCCAGCCCCGGACAGACACTGCCCTGCTTTGGAGACAGAGGGGTTGCGGGTGGAGAGGAAGGAGGTGGGAGGGCTGGTGGCGGTCAGGGAAGTCGCAGTCAGCGGTGAATCACCAGGCACATGACGCCGCAGGGAGGAGAGGGATGCCGCGGGGCTTAAAGGGCGGGCCTGGCGCCTGGCACCCCCTCCAGACTCCAAGTGGAGTAAAAAATAAAATCAGGGAAGCCCCAGTCCCCGACACCCTGTCCACGGCAGCCCCCAGCTCCCCGACTCCCCAGGGCCCCGACTCACGGCCTTCAGCTGCTCCAGCCGGTCCTTCATCCTGCTGCCCAGGCGCCCAGAGGCGGGGAGCGCTTCCCAGGTGAGCGCGCCCCAGGTGAGCGGCCGGAAGTGGCGGCCGGTCCCAGCTAGGAGAGCTCGAGACGCAGGTGGAGGCGGGCGGCGGCCGCTGGCCGGGAGGAGCGTCCGAGGCCACCCAGGCTCCGCCGCGCCGCCCCCTCCGGCCCCCGCCGACGCCGCGCTCCAAATCCGGATCCCGGGCGCGCGTCGACGTGCCGCGCTCAGCCGCCGGCCCGCCCCTTACCTGCGCCGCTCCCCGGGCTCCTCCTTAAAGGGCCCGCGCCAGGCTGTGCGCTCCTCCTCCCCTCACTTTCGGGGACACCCACGGCACCCGAGGGGACCGAGTGGAGGAGCTGCAGCTGACCGATCTCGCGCCGCGAACTCGAGGTCGCGCGAAGACCCGGGTTCTGCCTCGGTCCGCCTTTCCCGTTAGGATTCGCCGCCTTCTGTCACCCAGGCAGCGACAATCCCACCCCCGACCCCCGCGCCTCGAAATAAACTTGTGGGCCACATCAAGTTGGGTGTCAGGGCAGGGTGGGATAAAGTAGCCCCGGGGACGGGATCTGCTTTCGCGAGGCCAGAACTAGGGGGATGGGGGACTGGGGCGTGGTGTGGGCAGGTATAACTGAGGAGGGGCCAAGAACTGGAATGAGGATCTGGGTGCTTTTGGCCAACGGTACCGCGCAGCGAGATCGGCGGTTTTGGGGAAACATGGAATTTGCTAGGGACCCTGCAATAGAGGAGTAATTGACGCGTAACGCACAGATGGGTTTTAAGATCAAGATGTTGGCCTTGGAAAGCTTAAGCCTTCGTTTCCACGTGCTGTGGAGGTCCCTGGGGGTTGGGGGGTGGTCCTGCAGCTGCCAAAAAGGGCAACGGGTCTTCTCACTGCCCCTCCTTGGCTGCCTCGTCCCCTCTTTGTCTCCTCAGGGCACCCATGGTGTCCCCAGCAGAGAAGAGCTCGGTCAATGGGACTAAGGAACCGCTGACATAATTCTCAAGAGCGTTTAAAGCCCTCAGGTCAAAAGGCTGTGAAGTCCATTTGTGATTCGAAGGGGACTTTGCCCTCCTCTGCGAGCTTGCTACGTGGTGCCTTCACGGACGACCATAAAGATATGGTCTGTCGGTAGAAACAAGGCCCGGCTTCTGGACCCCGCCCTGCTTTTCCGCAGGCTAATCCGGTGTCGGACGCCCTGCCGCCGGTCCTTCAGCTCCGCGCTTGCTGGGCCAAGTGGCAGGTCTGTAACATCGTCCCCTGGTGGCCATAAATGGGAGAGGTGAATGAATAAGATTCCACTTGTTTGATGTTCAAAAAATGTTGGTGGTAGGGATGGGTAGTTGCCCGCCTTTTAAGACAACAAATACCTCTTAGAATAACAGAGATGAGAACAGCTCTCCACGTGCTTTATATATATATGTATATATAACATAAAATATATGTTTAATAATTTATATATTATTTTGTATATACACACAAATTATATGCTGGATTATAAACAGGCATTAGATGTTTCCTTCCCTACTTAATGAGGGAAACCAGCAAGGAGTTAAAGCTAACTGAAGAATCCAAACAGCAAGGAAAGGTACTACAGGAATACTGAAAGCTGAAGACAGTATGTTCACAAATGCAAATTGAGTTCTGGGGTACTGGGAGATCAATTGTCCTTCCACTGAACAAAATTCATTTTCATCTCTACACAAGACTCCTTTGCATCACTATCAAGTACCTACAGCTTACAGAGTTGGAAACCAGCAACAAAAGGTGCAGACTACACTAAAATCAGAGAACCTGCATGGGGGAGGGGGTGCATCCAGACCACATCAGCCCTATAAAATCATGTGTCCTGTCCCTGCCAAGGCAGCAGCAGGTGGAAAGCAGAATTCAGCAGATCTATAGCAGGTGGATTTTTTAGCTGATGATGCTGCATGACCTGTGAGTGATGGTATTCATATTACGAATGGCCCTTGGCAGAAAAAGGTTCATAACCTTTGTGAACCAAGACACACTTTTTTGTCATTGGTTTATTATTATTATTATTTTCCCAAGTGCTCTCAAGGTACAAATTTCCATAGTTTTGAAGAGTTCCAGCTACTTTTAAAATTTTGTCTTGTTGGCATGTCATTACAAAAATTTTAAAATGGGAGGAAAGAGGGGACAGGGTGGCAAGCATAATTTTGTCCTAAAAACTGTGTGTATGAGATGCTTGGAATTTGTTCTTTTGATATAATGTTTTAAAGTTTATCACACCACTTAGGTCTACCATCAACCTCACCAAAACCCATCTCTTCCCTGAACCTCTCTACCCACCTGGTTGGTGCTTCCTCCAGGTAATGTATGCAAAACTGCCTCACCTCCTTCAAGACTGATGGGTCCTCCAGTTCACCTAATGGTCTCCAGCGGTTTCTGGGGACCTCCCCCAACAGTGACTGTATCTCTTTTAAAAGCACACCTTGTGTTGTTCTGCAGTTACTGGTTTACACAACTTTCTCCCTGGCTTAAAAGTAACAAGCACTATTTACCTTCCATGGTTACTATTAGGTACCTAAGCTGCCAAGTATTTCTAGAATTAATCAAATAGAGATGGCCTTGTGCTGAAGTGGGTTAAGATGTCATTTGAGACACCCGCATCCCACAACCAAGTGCCTGGCTCAAGTCTCTACTTACTCGGTACTTGTGGTCCAGCTTCCTGCTGATGATTGCAGGAGACAATGGGCAATGACCCCAGACACATGGTTCCTGCCACTCACCTGGGAGGCCAAGATGGAGCTCCTGGCTCCTGATTCCTGACTTCCTCTGGGCTAGCCCAGCCTGTTGTAGCCATTTGAAGAAGGAATTAACACATAGAAGAGCTCTCCTTCTATTTTAAGCACTAATTCTATCATTCTGCCTTTCAATAAATAGATAAATAAATATTTTTAATAAATCAAAGAATAGTTGGCTAATTACACACAAATACTCTAGGGGCTCTTTGATCCTCCTTCTAAGGAAAAAAGAAGATTCTTCCTGGATCGTGAATCTTAAAATCAATTGCAGTGGCAACTGACACGGCTTGAAGTATAAACGTACCATGTATGAACTGACACAGTTTGAAGGATGAGTGTAATACCCATGAGCGGAGTACTGTGTTTTAAGTAATGTGCTGTGATGATGATGCACATCATGTTATTCAGAGCTGTTTTAATTGTAAAAATTTTACTCTTCATAATTTTTATATATTTGATTAAAGTATCAAGGGTCAAGGGCTAGAGGAAAGTGGGTGAGACCATTGTTCGCACATTCTCTTTATTCTTCCTGTATCTCAGGGTAGGAAAAAAATAAGGGGAGAAGCTATACCCAGCCTTCCAAGCATCCCAGGGTCCCTGATATGGGGCATGCTTCAAGGGTCCTGCTAAAGTGGTTTCGATAGTTCAACAGTTCTTTATTGCTGCTGAACTTGCCTGTCCAATCATGATGAAATCTCTAGACTCCATTGGTTGACATAGCCAACCTTAGAGTCTCCATTTGCCTAGGTATTCACTGCCAACTCTTGGTTGGGGTAGTGGATTGATTTGTTTGGTCCTTCATCCTCATCCTCTGTTATGGTACCATGTGTCCTCTGCGGGCTCCAATGTACTGCCATATCCCCCAAGTGCATCTGGATATGCTGGCCACTGCTCCATCTGAGCCACTGAGGAGGCCTAACTCTGACACATGCACTCCACAGTAAGACCATGGAACCCAAAATTCTCCCCATGGTTTGAGTTGTGAGTCCAGTGGTTCAGTTGCGGGGGATTCCCAAAGAAACATTATCTGAGGTATCCCAGAGCTCATTCTTGTGTGTGCATGCCAACACAGGGTCTGGCACAGTCCATCACCCAAATCAGCCTTTGCACACAGTGGTCAGTTATCTCCAACCCTGCCTTCTACACAAAATAATGGATGTTGCAGCCCAATCCTGCCCACCACACACTCAGCTCCCACGCAAACCAGTGGGAACTGCAGCCTAGTCAGAACAACCCATAATAAGCCCCAGCAGGCCTGCCCCCTCCCCTGCTTCCCGAGCTTGCCAGTAAGTATAACACACTGGTTCTGTCTGTCCCACATCCAATCAGCAATCACATGTGTCAACTGGCATTGAAGCCTAGTTCAACCCATCCAGTCCCACTATCCAACCCACACACTTGCCAGCGGGTGCCACTCTCTGTCTAGCCATGCCTGCCCCAGTCCTGGTTCTCACGTTCACTAGACAGAGTGGCAACCTAAGAGAGAGGTGCCCACTGTTCCCTAATGGGCTCATTCCCACTCTTAGATCTTGCACTCCTCGGGTGGTACTGCAGTTTATCTCAACAGAGTTTTCTCCCCATGCCAGCATCTGCCAGCTTGATTATGCATGTACCAGTAGGTACATTCTGTCCAGCCTGGCTTGTCTCTGATCCAGCTCACATGCAGGCCAACAGGTGATGTAGACCTGCCCAGACTGGTCTGCTCCCAATCTCAGCTCTCAGGCTCGCCAATGGGAATAGTATCCCAGCAGGGGAGCTCCCTGCAGTCCCTCCCCACCGGGTTAGCTCACTCTCCCTAGGGTCTCATGTGTGCTGGTTAGGCACTGCAGCCCAGTCTGGCATGAAACGTCTCACTTCAGCATTTGCCAGTGAGTGCTGTAGCCTGGCGCCCCCAGTTCCAGCTCACACTGGTGGGGACTACAGCCTAGTGAGCCCAGCCAGCCACCAGCCCATCCCTTATGTGAATTAGCTGGTATTACAGCCCGAACTGGCATAACCCACACACCTCTCTGGCTCTCAGATTTGCCAGTGGGTGATAAGAACTGGCCCAGCCTTGCTCACCCCCAACCTGAGCCAAAGGTAAGCCCCTAGGTACCATTACCTGATCTGGTCTGGGATGCTCCCTCTTTTGGTTCTTGCACTCACCTGCAGGAACTGTGTCCCTTCAGAGGAGTTCTAAAGATCCTTCATCAGAACCTCTCCTAATGCCAGAACTCGTGCACACCAGTGAGTCCATGAGTTAGCCCTACTTAGTCTACCTCCTGTCCTAGCAGGAACAGTGACCTTTCCTGACTGGCCCTTACACATTTCAGTTCTTATTGTTAGGTGCTACACCCCAACAAAGCCAGGTTCACACCAAGACACAGCTCACACATGATTCAGCAGGGCAGAGACCTAGTTCAGTCCATCCTATCCCGACCCTGGTTCTCACAAGCACCAGAGGGTGCTAGGGCCTTGACCAGTCCGCATGCTCCAGACCCAGTCCACACTTGTGCCAAGGGAGACTACAGCCATGTCCAGACCAGACAGCAGCCTCAACTCTGACCCCCACACTCACCAATGGGACCCACAACCGGGACCCACAACCCAGCCATGGTTTCCCCTTAGCTCTCCTGTCAGGCCTGATTCCAGCCACAGATCTTCCATGTGCCAGTGGTTGCTCTAACGTAGCTTGGAATAGTCCCTCACCTCTTTTGGCCTTTGCCTTCTGAAGCTGCAGCCTGGTCTGGCCCAGCCGGCCCCCAG